AAGAAAAGTGAAGTTCAAAATCATTAAAGGCTATCCAAATACAGTAATCCTCACTTAAAAAAGGAAAAAGAATCCCTGAAATGAAAAGAAAAAAAAAATATAGGATTGAAAACAATCCAAATTAAAAAGAAAAAAAAAAGAAGAAAGAAAAATGAAAGTGAGGAGAAGCTTGAGGATATGCCTAATCAAAAATTGGTTTCACTGGACCTACATAAAGGGAAAACTTGAATACATTCATGAACTTATATTTATGGAATAGATCTATTTACTAATAGAGTTCTCATGAAGTTCTTATCTTTTGGATATTCTAAGTGACTTAATATTGCAATCTATAATCATTCTTGAAATAAATAGAAAACTAGAACTCTTAAAACTTGATGACTAGATAATCTGATGGCTACATAGTAAATTCAATTACTTGAATTTTTTCTGAAAATTTCACTATGATATTTATCTAAATCAAACTTATAGTATTTCTGAATTAAAATATTACTGCAGTAGATCATAACTTTTATATAGTACTAAAATTACTTGAGGACAAGTAATAGTTAAGTTTGGAGGATTTTAACCAAAGTAAAATATGTTGAGATTTTCGTACCTCTTTTATATTGTTTTTGATGATATTGTACTTTAAAGAAATCACTTTAAAGAAATGTATTTTTGATGTTTTGTTGCAGGAATGATGAATTAAAGTCAATGGAGCAAAAAGATGCAAAAAGGAGCGAATTTGGAGCAAAAACGACCAAAATGTGGAGAATTGCACTAGGGCGCCGACGACGAGCTTTTCCTGAGGCCACATGACAAAATCTCCATAAGGCCGCTGACGGCTCCATCGAGGTCGTCAACGGTGGGATGTCCTGTAAAATGGATAAGACTGAATTTTGGAGGGGTGCATAAGCAACTCTTGGGAAAACTCATCCACATCTTTAAAGAGAAGATTTTGGCCGAAAATAAGAGAGTCCTGAAGGTTAGATAGGTTCCATTAGTGTGTAGAGAGCTTGCTAGAGCGTGTAACTGTGAGGAATTCTTCGAGAAATTGTAAGAGTAGAGGGAAAGTGAGAGATTTCTTCCTCCTTGCTACTTCGAAGAGGAATTCCGTGTGCTGTAAAAAAAGGAAGAGATTCAGAGGAACTTCCAGGAGTGTTCTTGGGGAAAAATTTAGAGATAAGTTATTTACTTGTTATAGTTTGTATGGCTTTGATTTTATATATGAATTCCAAGTTGTGTTATGCTTTCCCCATGAGTTCTGAGTAGTTTTCT